AAGAGTGATGTGTTCGCGTATGGAGTCATGCTGCTGCAGCTGATCACCGGCAAGCAGCCAACGGATGAGGACGTGGCGGAACGTGGGCTTGCCAGGTGGGCGGAGGCGAACGGCGCGGCGGCGATTGTGGACCCTCGGATGGAGCTGGAGCCTGGGGAGATTGACCAGATTCTGGGCGCGGTGAAGCTGGGGCTGCTGTGCACAGCGCGTGTGGCGTCGGACCGGCCCAGCATGCCTGAGATTGTGCATCTGCTGGAGAATCTGGAGGACTTTGCCAAGGGCGTGGGGACCATGGGCAAGGGGGAGAAGGAATGAGTGGATGGGTGAAGAGAGGTTGGGGGTACAGGGGTCGCTTGCCTGGTTTGGGACCAGGCCAGCTTGTTGGGGATGGAGGAATGTGTGGTTGGTGTTGAAGCTGGATGGCAAGGTGCCATGGCTTGATGGGAAGGAGAGGTGGGAGTTCAAAGGCTTGCCTGACCCTGGATGGATGCTGCATGATGGGGAGGTTGCTTCTATGTCTGGGTTGGATTGGAAGGGGTTAATTGTGTGGGTGGTGGGCTGCTGGGAAAAGGATGTGGGATGAGTGGGCACTGGGTATGCGGCCTGTTGCTTTGTATAATTGCAGGAACGCCCATGCGTTTGTGTGCTGCTGTCACTCTTTGTTTACCAGGGTCTTTGCCCTGTACAGAACAGCCGATGTATTTATTGCTAGTTGTGTAGTTTCTTTTTGTAGAGATATCTTTCTCTGCTGCATGCTTTGCAGAGATCCCCATTTTGGGCCTTGTGCAACTTGATGTCTGTGAACGCTGATTCATAAGCAACTCTTAATGTTGTAATGCCAATTTGCAATTATTTTACACTTGACACGTATATGGCTAAGCTGGTTGCCATTGCTAATGGGGCGAAACTATTCATCGTGACTCGTGACCGGGAATGACGTGGGTCACTCGGTGGTTGAAATTGTTCTCCCTGCTCTCGTTACTCGCCTCCTCGGTACTCGTATCACATTTTGTCTCGTGCAACACGGCGTGCCGTGAACCCAAGACGCGGTGCTGTAGCGGGAGATCATGCTCGACCTTGCTCAAGTTCGGTTTTGACGGGATGAGAGGGGGCTGTATATGTTATATCCAGGTTTACGGTACGGTTGGCGATGGACATGAATTGTTGACCAGCATTTCTCGAACTTGCCGAGCCGAGTACTATGCTCCAAACCAGGCCTGTCGAAGTCCCTGGGGCCAACACTTCGAGTCCTGAGCTGCTCGAAGTTTGGCTCTGATTTTCGCGATGGTGACCGGATTTTAGCCCTTAACGATCACGGGTGCAGGTCAAATTCAAAACTTAAAATCCGGGCTTCTTTAAAAAAATGTACGTTTGCCCTAACTCACAAAGGCGGATGTCAAATATTTCTTAGCAGCGGGAAGGAGCTTGCTAACAACCCATCTGCAAACCTACAGCAGGGGGTGGGGGAAGAGGGGTGGGGGAGGGGAGGAGGGGGCTCGTAGGGCAAAACATCGTCAGCAAAGAAGTCGTTTGAATTCTTGTGTACATTCGCAAAGCACTTCCGAGGAGGTTCGTTCTCATGTAGTAACTTTAGTGTGAACCGATGGGGCTGAGTCCCTCTTCGCCACGTAAGGGTGTCAGTGTCTCGAGTCCAGCGTGAGTACTTAAGAACTGTGAGGAGTGAAGACTGCCTTAGAAATATTTTGCAACCACAGCCATAAACATCAACACTAGAAAGTCCTATCATACCAAACTAGATAGAATGTGGGAGCTTCAGGGATAATTACGGGAGGAGAAGAGTGGCAACTTAGGAAAATCGCAGGGTTGCTTGTACTCCTGATCCGGGATTTCAGGGAAGGGCCCCAAACCAGCCCTTAACTGATCCGAGCTGATACCCCAATTTCTCGAAATCAGCCCGTAAGAAAAACGGGCTCCCCTCGAAACCAGCCCTTCGAAATGCCGAAGCTGGCCTGGAGTTCGCCCGGAATGTTCAGGGCATTAAGGGCGAATGCCCTTGAATCGTCAGCCCTGCTCCAAACCAGGGTGTTGGACATGGCTGCTTTTTGCTCAGCACTAGGCTCAATATTGTACTGCACTGCACACACACCGTTGTCTCCTCCACGTAGCAGTTGGTTGGACATGGCTGCCTTTTGCTCAGCTGCTTATGGACGCAGAATGCAGTGCGACTTGGGGCGGTGCAATTCAACATAGCGCGATGCGGTGTGATTAATATCGAGCGTGGAGTGGTAATGCGTGAGATAAAGAACATTCAGCAGCGTCAGCCCTACTGGTTGATCGCTCGCGCGGCATTAAGCCAGACCGCTGTTTTTTTTCTCCTTTGATGCGATAGGAGAAAGCGATTACGTGTCACACACGCTCGGCGTACCCTCGTGATTGGTTTTGACGCGCCTCAGAACAACGGCTGGCCAGTAACAAAGCAGCACCAGCGGCAACAACGGAACTTGCTTGTAGGGATGCTCTACAGTAAGATGATCCACTCGAAGGTGCAACCAAATACGAACTCGGTACTGAACTCGAAGACGAACTCAAAAGGGCGTCGGAAGGTGCACTTTAGGATGCACCACTGGGCGTCGTTCTTCATCCTCGTTATACGCTCTTCCACAGGTAAGTCTGCGCACTCATCTGACTTTTGATTATTTGAATAAGCTCCTCCTTAGGTAAGTCTGCTCACTAATCTCGTACCTGTTCAGTCTCGACCTTTCTCAGGCTCGCACCTCCCTCATAACCTCCTTCCCTTCTCTCCTTCCCCCGCTTCCATTGTATCCCCCCCCCCCCCCCCCCCCTTTCCCTGTCTTCCCATCCCTTTCCTTCCTATACACCCCTGAACGAGTCAGTAACAGTTCCCAATTCCTCCTCTCCCATCCACATGACGTCAGCACACCACTTGGGCCGCATCAGCTCTTTACAACTCTCCAACACCCCTCTCCACATTCCCCCCTCTTTTCCCCTCCTCCCCAATCAGCCCCCTCTGCCGAGCAGTGTAAGGCTCGTCAACAGAAGAACGGAAGCTATACCTCAGACCTCAGTGCCCCAGACCTCAGCACCACCAGTAGGGGTTGTGAACCGCGTCATCCCTTCCCTTCTCCGACCCCATTCCCCTCCATGCAGTGCAAGGGTCTTCCACAGATAAGCGGCTCCTCTACCTAGTGCCCATGACCTCAGCACCTCCAGTGGCGGTTGCACACATGACGTCAGTCAGTCTTCCCCTCCCCCTTCTCTGCCATTTCGTCCTGCCTTGCAGTGCGGGGATTTCCCCCCATTGAATGGCGCCTCCGCCTCGTGCCCATGACCTCCGCACCACCACCAGTAGTGGTTGTGAACCACATCATCATCCCATCTCTTCTCCGCCCCCCTACCCCTTGCCATGCAGTGCAAGGCTCGTCAATAGAGCAAAGAAAGCAGTACCCCGGCCCGGAGCGCATGACCTCAGCACCACCACCAGTGTGCTGAGTCGATTTTTGAGTCGACTCAAATATCAACCCAGTGGTGGTTGGTTGTGAATCGCATCATCCCTTCTCTTCTCCGACCCCCTTCCCCTCCATGCAGTGCGAGGCTCTTCAACAGAGCAAAGAAAGCTGTACCTGGTGCACATGACATCAGCAGCACCAGCACCATCAGCACCACCAGCAGCACCAGCACCACCAGCAGCACCAGCAGCACCAGCACCACCAGCACCACCAGCAGCACCAGCACCACCAGCAGCACCAGCACCACCAGCACCGGCAGCACCAGCAGCACCAGCAGCACCAACACCACCAGCACCACCAGCACCACCAGCACCACCAGCACCACCAGCACCACCAGCAGCACCAGCACCACCAGCAGCACCAGCAGCACCAGCAGCAGCACCAGCACCACCAGCAGCACCAGCAGCACCAGCAGCACCAGCACCACCAGCACCACCAGCAGCACCAGCAGCACCAGCAGCACCAGCAGCACCAGCACCACCAGCACCACCAGCAGCACCAGCAGCACCAGCACCACCAGTGGTGGCTGGCCGACGCATCAGCCATGCACATAACGTTAGCCCCTTCCCTTCCCCCTCTCCCCTCCCCCTCGCCATGCAGTGCAAGGCGTTTCAACAGAGCAAAGAAAGCTGTACCTGGTGCATATGACATCAGCACCACCAGTAGTGGCCTACACTGGGGGAATCCCAGGACTTAAACCCACGGCCGCTGGTTCTGCTGCCGCTTCTTCTGCTGCTCGTGGTGGGGTTGGTGGTGGTGGTGGTTCTGCTGCTGCTAAACATTCCGCTGATTCAAAAGCCGCATCCAAGGCTGTAAAACGCGCTTCTGAACGCGGTGCAGGCAGCAGACTCGATATAAGCACACCCAGAGCAAGCAGCGCGAGTACGGTGTACCCGGGGGCAGCAGGCGCAGGCAGCAGCAGCAGTTACTGGAGCAGCGGGGGAGGAAGCGGAGAAAGGAAACCTATCCGACCTTTAGCCGATTCCCCCGGGGTAAAAGCCTACCAGGAGCATCTGCTCAGCACACACAGGTCTGCCCTAGCCTCGGTGGGAGCCTCGGAATCGAGCCTAGTTTACAGCTACGGAGTCACAGCGAATGCCGTCTGTGCATCTTTGACAGCACAGCAGGCGGAGGAGTTGAGAAAGCGGCAGGGGGTGGGGCAGGTGGTGAGGGCGAAGGGGAAGGTGCGTGTTTTCACGACATACACGCCCAAGTACATGAAGCTGGGGAAGACGTGGGGGGGTGTGGGCGGGCAGGGGCGAGCAGGGGAGGATGTGATTATTGGCGTGCTGGACTCGGGGATTTGGCCGGAACACCCTTCCTTCTCAGACAAGGTGAGAGATGTGTGTGTGTATGTAGGGGGGCGTGTGCGGGCAAGAGCGGGCAGGTGCGAGCGGGGGAGGACGTGATTATTGGCGTGCTGGACTCGGGGATCTGGCCGGAACACCCTTCTTTCTCGGACAAGGTGAGAGATGTGTGTGACTGGTAAGTGAGTGGGCAAGCAAGTAGATGATGCTTGGAAGTATGTGGGTTAGTGTTGGCGGGCAGGGGCGGGCAGGGGAGGGCGTGATTATTGGCGTGCTGGACTCGGGGATCTGGACCCTTCTTTCTCGGACAAGGTGAGTGTGTAAATGAAGAGAAATGTGTGTGTGTGTGTGGGGGGGGGAGTGTGTGGGTGTGGGCGGACAGGAGCGAGCTGGGGAGGGCGTGTGTGTGTGTGTGTGTGTGTGTGTGTGTGTGTGTGTGTGTGTGTGTGTGTGTGTGTGTGCGCATGTGTATGGATGTATGAGCAAGTGCAACCACACAGCCCCACCCCTTTCTTCCTTCTCTTATCTCTCCCACTCAACCTCTCCCCCTTTCTTCCCCCTCATCTTGCAGGGTTACAGGCCAGTGCCCAAGCGGTGGAGGGGGGCGAATGCGGACTGAGCAAGTTCAGTTCAACACTCCTCCCCTCCTTCCCTTGTCCCTGCCTCCCCCTCCTCTCCCCCTTTCTTCGCCCCCCTTCCCGCCCACCAAATCCGCAGGGCTATAAACCAGTGCCCAAGCGGTGGAGGGGGGCGTGCACGGGGCTGAGCAGGTGCAACCGCAAGCTGATAGGCGTGCGCTTCGTTCCTCCTCCCCTATTTCCCGCCCCTATTTCGTGCGCCTATCTCTGGCAGGGCTATAAACCAGTGCCCCAGCGGTGGAGGGGGGCGTGCACGGGGCTGAGCAGGTGCAACCGCAAGCTGATAGGCGTGCGCTTCGTTCCTCCTCCCCTATTTCCCGCCCCTATTTCGTGCGCCTATCTCTGGCAGGGCTATAAACCAGTGCCCAAGCGGTGGAGGGGGGCGTGCACGGGGCTGAGCAGGTGCAACCGAAAGCTGATAGGCGCTCGATACTTCCTCAAGGGGTACGAGGCGGAGTATGGCAAGCTGGCCCAGGGGGAGTTCCGCTCTGCACGTGATGCTGGTGGGCACGGCACGTGGTGTGCGGGGTGAGTCATGGTTGGTGGGTTGGTGGGATACATAATTGCGGGAAGAAATGGGACATGTGTTGATAGGTGTGCGTCATCCTCAAGGGGTACGACGAAGACGCGCACTGTACTCCCGCAAGCTGATCGGCGCACGGTACTTCCTCAAGGGGTACGAGGCAGAGTATGGCAAACTGGCTCGGGGGGAGTTCCGCTCTGCACGTGATGCCGGTGGTCATCATGGCACGTGGTGTGCGGGGTGAGTTGTGGAAGAGGGGGGGGAGGATGCACTTGGTGTGCGGGGTGAGTCACAGTGGGGAAAAGAAAGAAAGGGAAGAGGTCACATGCTCATCGGCGCACGGTGCTTCCTCAAGGGGTATGGGGCGGAGCATGGCAAGCTGGCCCCGGGGGAGGGGAGTACCGCTCTGCCAGGGATGCTGGTGGCTCGGGCATGTGGTGTGCGGGGTGAGGTGACTTTTGATTCGACTCAAAAGTCACCTCCGCCAGGGATGCTGGTGGCCCGGGCATGTGGTGTGCGGGGTAAGCAATGCGCGTGGGGATGGGGGAGGGGGATGGGGAACATGGTGTGCGGGGTGGGTCCTACGGGGTGGGGCGTGGGGTGTGTGTGCTTCTTCCTCAAGGGCCACGGGGCGCAAGTTTTTGAGTCGACTCAAAAGCTTCTTCCTCAAGGGCCACGGGGCGCAAGTTTTTGAGTCGACTCAAAAGCTTCTTCCTCAAGGGCCACGGGGCGCAAGTTTTTGAGTGGACTCAAAAGCTTCTTCCTCAAGGGCCACGGGGCGCAAGTTTTTGAGTCGACTCAAAAGCTTCTTCCTCAAGGGCCACGGGGCGCAAGTTTTTGAGTCGACTCAAAAGCTTCTTCCTCAAGGGCCACGGGGCGCAAGTTTTTGAGTCGACTCAAAAGCTTCTTCCTCAAGGGAAACGGGGCGCAAGTTTATGAGTCGACTCAAAAGCTTCTTCCTCAAGGGCCACGGGGCGCAAGTTTTTGAGTCGGCTCAAAAGCTTCTTCCTCAAGGGCCACGGGGCGCAAGTTTTTGAGTCGACTCAAAAGCTTCTTCCTCAAGGGCCACAGGGCGGAAAATGGTTTTTGAGACGTCTCAAAAAAAATATGCTTACGATAGAACTACCTGGTTATCCTCAAAGGCTACGAGGCGGAGTATGGTGCGGTGCCGTGGCTCCGCGGGAATATCACTCTGCTCACCCACACCCACCCCTCCCTTCCCCCTACCCCGCCCCCCCTGCCTTCCCGTTTTTTCCACTCATCTCCCCTGCAACCCACTTCCCCGCGTTTGATTACACACCCATCCAACCCCCACCCCCCGCTTTTCCCCCTCCTCTTTCACTCCGCACAGAGCGGCAGCAGGTAACGCCAGGGTGGTTCTGACTGACGAGTTTTGAATTGTCCACACTGCCTCCCCTTCCGCCCCCGCCTCCCCTCTCTCCCTCCGCCGCCCTTCCCTTCCTCCTCCACCCTGGTCTCTTCTACTTTCCAATAACACAGAGCGGCAGCAGGTAACGCAGGAGTGGTTCTCACAGACGAGTTTGGATCGACGGCGGGGCCAGCCAGTGGCATGGCGCCACGTGGCAGGCTGGCTATCTACAAGGCGATCTGGTTCAACGCGTCAGAGGGGTACGGCCACGACTGCGACATCTTTGCAGCCGTTGATCAGGCCGTCGCGGACGGTGTGGATGTGCTCTCCATGAGCATTGGGTCGGGCGAGGATACATACTTTGGGGACCTGCCTCTGCTGAGAGCGGTGCAGGTGAGTAAGAGGGTGTAAAAGGGTGTGAGAGGGTGTGGGAGGGTGTGGGAGGGTGTGAGAGGGTGTGAGAGGTTGTGAGAGGATGTGGGAGGGTGTGGGAGGGTGTGGGAGGGTGTGGGAGGGTGTGAGAGGGTGTGAGAGGGTGTGGGAGGGTGTGAGAGGGTGTGAGAGGGTGTGAGAGGGTGTGAGAGGGTGTGAGAGGGTGTGAGAGGGTGTGAGAGGGTGTGAGAGGGTGTGGGAGGGTGTGAGAGGGTGTGAGAGGGTGTGAGAGGGTGTGGGAGGGTGTGAGAGCGTGTGAGAGGATGTGAGAGGGTGTGAGAGGGTTTGAGAGGGTGTGAGAGGGTGTGGGAGGGTGTGAGAGGGTGTGAGAGGGTGTGAGAGGGCGTGAGAGGGTGTGAGAGGGTGTGGGAGGGTGTGGGAGGGTGTGAGAGGATAACTCGTGATGTGAAAGAATCAGGTGAGAGGGTGTGAATGTGAAGTCATCTCGTCTGTGTCTCATCGCAATGTGTCTTATGCGCCCATGGAGCACACGTCCCATAACGTTTTCCCTCCCATGCAACCGCCCCTCTCTTGCTGCATGCAGGCAGGGGTGTTCCTAGCCATGGCAGCGGGCAATGAGGGACCGCCCCCTACAGCGGAGTGATAGGTCGCAGAGAGAGACCCGTTTCTTATGCTCGCATGTCGCCCCTCTCTTTCTGCTTGCAGGCGGGTGTGTTCCTGGCCATGGCAGCGGGCAACGAGGGACCGCCCCCCATGGCTCAGAAGCCTTATGGCTTCCGCACTCTCAGCAACGCTGCTCCCTTCTATCTCACTGTTGCCGCCAGGTGGGTAGCACACTGTTTCTCACCCTCTCACCCTCAGGACGCGTCACCTACCTCGATCGATCCTGCACAGGATCGATTTTTTATTCGGCTCAAAAAGTTTTCAAACAAATTTAAATGCAACACGCGGGAGTTCAGTGCGGTGGACAATCGATCTTCCTCGATTTTGCACGATCGATCGAGGGAGGTGACGCGTCCTCATTTCACCTCTCACCCTCATTTCACCTCTCACCCTCATTTCACCTCTCACCCTCATTTCACCTCTCACCCTCACTTCCTTTCTCATCCTCACTTCCCCTCTCACCCTCACTTCCCCTCTCATCCTCACTTCCTTTCTCATCCTCACTTCCCCTCTCATCCTCACTTCCCCTCTCACCCTCACTTCCCCTCTCATCCTCACTTCCCCTCTCACCCTCACTTCCCCTCTCACACTCACTTCCCCTCTCACCTCACTTCCCCTCTCACCCTCACTTCCCCTCTCACCCTCACTTCCCCTCTCACCCTCACTTCCCCTCTCACCCTCACTTCCCCTCTCATCCTCACTTCCCCTCTCACCCTCACTTCCCCTCTCACACTTACTTCCCCTCTCACCTCACTTCCCCTCTCACCCTCACTTCCCCTCTCACCCTCACTTCCCCTCTCATCCTCACTTCCCCTCTCACCCTCACTTCCCCTCTCACACTCACTTCCCCTGTCATCCTTACTTTCCCCACTCCTACTTCCACTTCTCTTGACACCCCAGCTCAACAGATGACGACTGGGGCTTCTTTGGTCGCTCTGCACAGTCAGCAAAGTCAATACAAGTCAACGGAACCTCGCTGCCTGCTGCTGCAACAGCCGTCCAGGTGAGAGGCCTGCCGGAAGCATCAGGGGAATTTTCAGATGCAGAGTCAGGTGAGTGTTCAGGTGATTGCCAGGCATTCTGTCGGGTTAGAGGTCAGGTCAAGTGAGTCTTTGGGTGATGGATAAAAAGGTACAGCTTCAGGTGAGGCATCAGGTGAATCTTCAGGAGATTCGTAATCAGGTGCACCTTCGGTTGATGGACATGATACCTCACACCCCATCATCACCCTTGCTTCCATAATCCATTCGAAACCCTCTTCACACTCCCCTCCCCTCCCCTCCTCTCATGCCTCCCTTTTCAGGCGCCTCAAAACCCACACCTCAAAACCCGCCACCCTCCAGTAGATGACTTTTGAGCCGACTCAAAGTCATATTTTCAGGCGCTTCAGAACCCGCAACCCTCCAGTATCTCCCTGCCGCTCCTGTCCTCCCCTCCTTCCCTGCCTGCTCCCCACATCCCACCCCTCCCTCTGCCAGCCAAGGCAGCTCTCAGACCCCATGATGGCCCCCTTTTCTTCCACGTCTCTTCCACGGAGCCTTTCGATTGAGGCGCCTAAAAGCTCCCCCACTTCCTTTCCCCCCATTCCCCGCTCCCCCTCGTCCCACACCACCCCGCGCCAGCCAAGGCAGCTCTGAGGCCCCATGATGGCCCCCGTCTCTTCCACGGAGCCTTTCTATTGAGGCACCTAAAAGCTCCCCCCCTTCCCTTCCCCCCGTTTCCTTTCCCCCCTCCCCCCACACACCCCCATCCCAGCCAACTCAACTCTCAGACCCCATGATGGCCCCCTTCTCATCCGCCGGACCTCCCTTAAACCCCAACAAGCCGCCTTCCTCCTCGCCCACCCTCACCAACGACCTCTTAAAGCCCGACATCACCGCCCCCGGGATCACCCGCCTTGCTGCTGCTCCCGGGGGCACTAATGGACAAGCTTGGTTCTCCAGTAAAAGCGGCACGTCAATGTCTACACCTCAACTGGCCGGAATCGCAGCGCTTATAATTCAAAAATACCCCAAATGGAGCCCTGCCGCGGTTAAATCCGCGATAATGACAACTGCTACAGTAATGAACCGGCAGGGCGGGTTTATTGAGGATTCGTCCGGAGCGAAAGGGACACCCTGGAATTATGGGTCCGGGCACGTAAATGCCCCGAAAATTCTCAACCCTGGGCTGGTATACGACGTTGGGTTTGTGGGCTATGCAAATTTTCTTGCCGGGCTGAACATGGTGAAAGCTCGACAGACGTTGGGGAAATCCGTTTCGCTTTCACCAATCAAGGCGTGGGATTTGAATCAGCCGAATATTTGTGTGTCGCGGTTGTCTACAGTGGTAACCGTAACCAGGAGGGTTACTAGCGTGGCTGGGCGTGCCCGGACTTACAAGCTTCGGCTCGGTTCCATGCCGAACGTAGCGGTAGAGGTTACACCGAAGCAGTTTATGATCTTGCCCGGGCAGAGCATTACTTTTTCAGTGAAGCTGACCCCGAAAAAGGGCAGTGGAAAGTTTTCGTTTGGGAGTTTGGCATGGACGGACGGGGTGCATTGGGTGAGAACATCTATAGCTGCCCAGCCTATGGTGGCACTATAATGAAGGTGATTCAGTATAATACCGGTAACGCCTGGCATGATAGGTGTGTGTTGGGCCATGCTGTTTTTTTTCGGTGTATGAAAGGGTTGGGTTGATAAGTTGAGCCCCTTGGTAACCACTTCCCTTCCCCATTTTGCCCCTCTTTTAGCATTGCATGGTGATGGTAAGAGAATGGCACAGCCACCAGGACGGGGAGGGACATTACTGACCAAGCATGCATGCATTGGCACGCAAATCCCTTGTGGCTGCCGCGACGGGAAACTTCTCAATCCATCTTATGTCTCCACACATCCTGGCGCAGACCTCCTTTGGCAGCTGGCCAAGGTAGTGATCCAGTTATACAAACCCCTTCTGAATCTCCACTCCACGTTACAGGATGTTGTAATGCAAATTTTACGGTACTGCCTTATAATCAGCTTGCTAAGTGCAAAGCAAATACCGTAGAGTTGCATTATAACCCAAGGCTCTGTAAGGTATAAAGAATGCCTGCGTGCTTCAAACAAACATATTGTAAGAAGAGCAGTTGTCGTGGCGATGTCATATGGTAAGTTAACCAATAAAGTTGATAACGACCAGGTACAGCACAAGGCTACAGAGGACATAGTCGGCAAATGCGCGCTCGTTTGGCAGCTCCTGTTACAGGCAGAACAGAAAGTAGGAGGGAGGGGTGGAGGAGTTGAGGGGTGGGTGGACAGCAGGGTGGGAGCAGAAGAGTGGTGGGGGAAAGTTACACAACGAAAGCGTAAACCTAATACCGGCGTAACTTCTAAGTCGGTGCATGAAACACAGATGTGTCAAGCGAATCAGCACACGAAGCGGTGAGCTTAGAATCGAATCTCATTGTGGACATGGGAAGTAGGAGGAAAGTAGGAGGAGCACGTGGGAAGAAGAGGTCAGGACAGGACGAGGAGTTTGGGGGTTCAGGCCTGGGGGAAGGCAGGGAGGAGGAAGGAGCGAACCTGGAAGTCTTTGTTCTCCTTGTTAGCCTGCATTCTCAAACACACTGTGGGGGGGGAGCGAGAGGGGAGGGGGAGAGAGGGGGCGGGACATGAGCAGACGAACAGAAAGACAGTGGGAGACAATGCCCGGTTGAAGGAAAGAAGATGCACAAAGCGGAGGGAGGATTGGAGATCTGCGGAAAACGAGTTTCAGGTGAGAAGGGGAGCAGTGTAAGAAGCAGAAGAGTGCAAGGGAGTAGCAGGTAAGTGGAAAGAAACAGAGGCTAAGGAGGAGCGGCAAGGCTGAACGAGGGGGAAAAGTGAGGCTGGAGAGGGCAAAAGGAAGGCATTTATGGTTGAACTCGAAGCAGGGTGACTTTTGAGTCAACTCAAAAGTCACCTGGAGAGGGCATCAGGAAGGCATTGATGGTTGAACTCGAAGCAGGGTAAAGTCATTCAAGAGTAAACGACGTGAGGACGCGAGTGCATGCTAGGTTCGCGCATACCTGCAAGCACGGCGGTCCCGATACAGGAGAGCAGGCCCGCGAGGAAGGCGTTGAAGGGGAACGACCCCACCAGCGCCATGTACGCGAACTGCGCGATTGGCGCGCGGGGAAAGGGGACGGGGGAAAGGGGAAGGGGGAAGAAAGCTTTAGAGTTGACTACAGGCGTTGAAGGGGAACGACCCCACCAGCGCCATGTACGCGAACTGCGCGATTGCGGGCGGAGGAGGGGGACAGGGGGAAAGGGGAAGGGGGAAGAAAGCATCAGAGTTGACTACAGGCGTTGAAGGGGAACGACCCCACCAGCGCCATGTACGCGAACTGCGCGATTGCGGGCGGAGGAGGGGGACAGGGGGAAAGGGGAAGGGGGAAGAAAGCATCAGAGTTGACTACAGGCGTTGAAGGGGAACGACCCCACCAGCGCCATATACGCGAACTGCGCGATTGCGGGCGGAGGACTCGGGGGGAGGTGTGCGGAGAGTGCGAAAAGAGGGAAAGAAAGGGGGAAGGAAGGGAGTGCTGAGTTAGTTTACAGTTGACTACGACCCCGCCGGCGCTATGTACGCGAACTGCGCGATTGGCGCGCGGTAAAGGTGGAGAGGGGGTGGGGAAGAAAAGGTGGGTGGGTGAGGGGAAAGGGAGGGGACGAGGAGGGGAAAGGAAGGGGAGGAGTGTGAAGTTGGCGAAAAGAAGTTAACTGAATACATTTTGAAGTGGGAACAACCGCACCAGGGCCATGTACGCGAACTGTGTGACTGATGGGCGAGGAAGGGGGGGAGGAGTGGGAGTTGATGGGGAGGGGAAAGGGGTGAACATTCATGTTTAGTGGTGGGAGGTGAGCAAGGTGCACTGAGCGAGCTTTATACGTGCACTGGTGAGTGGTGGGGGAAGGGACGACAGGACATAGACGACACGTGAACACGGCTGTGGCCGACACGTGGACATGAACGGCACGTGGAGATGAACGGCACGTGGACATGAACGGCACGTGGACATGGACGGCACGTGGACATGGACAGCATGTGGTGCATACCTGAATCCCAGCCGTCAGAAGCGCGTAGACCACGAGCAGATCCAGGGCCTGTATGGTTTCGCGGACATTTAGAAACAGGTAAGAGAGGACCAAAAGTGAACAGAACGAAACGTGATTTTTTCGACTCTTTCTCTGGGTGAAGTTGGAGTCGGCGACAGGAAAAGAAAGTCTAATGACACGATACAACATTGATAACAAAAATAAATTTGCTGGGGAAGGTATGCGCGGCCGATCGTGAATGCAACAGCGGCACCGCCATGAATGCTTCACGCATCCACGCAGAATCTGCACAGTTATCTCAATTTATTTCTTCCATAATCGCGATTGTGTCTTGAAGCACTGATAGAACATCCGCCGGTGCCACAACCTGTAACGCCACAACCCCCTGATTTCTAACACCACACAAAATATCGGACCTTGAGTTTGACTGGTGTTTTGCTGTACTCGTTATAGAATGTCGACGTCACAGATCTGAAATCCTCCACGATCCCCATGGCCGCGATCTACTCCCTCCTGCCGATCTAAGTCGAATGGCAAACCGCAGCGGAAGCGTCCAAAGCGGAATCTAGGAAATGCCAAACGACCCCTCGTCTCTACAACCGGAGGCAATCCCAGACCCCCCGTTCAAATTCCCGAGACTCGTTTCCGTGGTCGGCGGGGAGCGGAGAGAAAAAAGATCCGTCCCGTGTCCAAAATCGGATCAGTCCTTGGCGGAACAGCAGAATTCCGAGATGTAATATTAGCGATAATCTCGAGGGTCTCGGGAATGATGCAGGAAATCGAGAGGTCGCTCAATCGTTACCAAATGGTTCTTTCTGCAACTGAGGGCGTATTCATCGAGGTGGAAGTGAGGGTGGTTCAGTAGCGGCAATACAGCTGGTAGTCTTCACGTTTCAGCCGAGCTTGTAGTGGGTCAGTTCAGGTCGTGTCAAACCGACACCAGGTCACATTCCACTCAGAAACGCAAAAAATGCAAAACAAAAAATCGCTCCCAGGTGGGCTTGAACCACCGACCTTATGGTTAACAGCCATACGCTCTAACCAACTGAGCTACGAGAGCTGTTCTTCGCTCGACGTTTAAAACTAAAAGAATAATATGCAATTGTTCTCACATACGCATAGTAGCTTCGTGATTGTTGTCTGCCGCCATGGCTCGTTGTGTCCCAAGAATGCGCGGAGCGACGTCTCGCCTTGTCGCTCTACAACCCTTCCTCGCCCAGCCTTCCCTCACTTCATCCACGCCCACACCCGCGCTCCTTCCGCCCTCCACCCCGCCTCTCCCCTTCCACCCGCTCCCCGCTTCCGCCGCTGCATCTTCCCCCTGCCCCCCCCGCCAACCATGGCTCCGCTCAACCGTTTCCGCTCTCCTCCCAGCGTCCTCTGTCCCCTCCCCAAACGCGTCTTCCGCTCTGTCTTTCCTCTCCGTCCCATTCGTCCCTTCTTCCGCTTCCGCCCTTTCCGCCCCTTCCGTCCTCCGACCCGCGCGCTCCCCCTACCGTAACTCCCCTCCTCCCCTTCCTTCCCCGTACCGTGACGCCTGGCTACATCTCGCCCGCCAAATCAGCAGCAGCGCGGGAAGCAGCGGCGGGGGAAGCGGCTCTGCGGTGGAGGCGTCCCCCGGCGGAGCTGGCGCGGGGGAGGCACCACCTGGGGGAGGCGTTTTCCAGAATATCCGGGTGGAGCTTGTGGCGGACGGGCAGGTTGGGTTAATTACCCTGGCACGGCCGAAAGCACTGAACGCACTGTCGCAGGCGGTTATGGGGGAGGTGGTATCTGCGCTCAAGTGGATGGACCAGAAGGACTCGGTGAGTGCGGAAGGAGAGGGGGGGGGATGGGAATGGAGGGGGACGGTATGTGAGGGAGGGGGTATGCAAGGGCGTGCTTGACCTTGAACTTCGCTGCTGCTGCTCAGGGGCGCGCCAAACTTGGTTTCTGCTCTCAAGTAGATGGACCAGGAAGACTCGGCGCACGTAGGGAGGGCGTATTTGGCACATGTGTAGCAGCACGTGCATGGCTCGCACGCATATGGCACGTGCATGGCTCGCCTCGCACGCATATGGCACGTGCATGGCTCGCCTCGCACGCATATGGCACGTGCATGGCTCGCCTCGCACGCATATGGCACGTGCATGGCTCGTGTAAGGTCGTGCACTCAAGGCACCCACTGCCCTTGTTTCCGCATGTGCTGTACGCGTTACAAACACCCTGCCGCAGGTGGGGGCGACGGTGGTGACGGGCGAGGGGCGCGCGTTTGCAGCCGGGGCGGACATAGCGGAGATGGCGCCGCTGACCTTCGCTGCTGCTCTCAAGGGCGACTTGCTGGGGCAGTGGGACGACATGCGACGTGTGAAGAAGCCTGTCATCGCTGCTGTCAATGGGTGAGTAAGACTTTCCTGACCACCGTAGCCGGCACATTGCAGAGATGGCGCCGCTGGCCGTCGCTGCTGCTCTCCAGGGGGACCTGCTTTCGCAGTGGGATGAAATGAGACGGCTGAAGAAGCCTGTCATCGCTGCTGTCAATGGGTGAGTCGTAAGGTGAGCGGGCAGGTGCGCAGGAAGGGAGGAAGGGAGGAAGGGAGGAAGGGAGGAAGGGAGGAAGGGAGGAAGGGAGGAAGGGAGGAAGGGAGGAAGGGAGGAAAGGGCTAAGAGCGACTCGCTAGGGGGGCAGAAGTGCAGGGAGGAGGGTCACATCCTTTTTTTATATGTACATCCCTTTCAATCTAATTTGGCCCCAGGTACGCACTGGGTGGCGGGTGCAAGCTGGCAATGGTGTGTGGCATTGTCTTAGCCGGACAAAAGGCTGTGTTCGGGCAGCCTCAGTTGAAGCTACCCACGCCGTGCCTACCCCTTCCCGCCGCTCATCCCCCTCCAACCTTCCGCCCCTCCCCTTATAGCTTTCCTCAGCTATGCCTTGGGCGGCGGGTGTGAGCTGGCGATGATGTGTGACATCATCCTGGCTGGTTGAAAGGCCATGTTCAAACCACCCCGAGGTGAATGTGGGAGTCATAGGCGGCGCACACCCCCTCCTTCCCCCCCCTCTCTTTCCCCCACCTTCCTCCCTCCTTTTGTCTCGTTTCAGCTACGCACTGGGCGGCAGGTGTGAGCTGGCAATGATGTGCGACATCATCCTGGCGGGCGAGAAGGCCGTGTTTGGGCAGCCAGAGGTGAAGCTACCCCCTTTTGCCCTCTCACGCACTCCCTCGTCCCACCCCTCTCTGTCTGTCCCGCTTTCTTTCTCCAGCTATGCCTTGGGTGGCGGGTGCGAGCTGGCAATGATGTGTGACATCATTCTAGCCGGCGAAAAAGCCGTGTTCGGTCAGCCGGAGGTGAAGCTGGGGGTCATTCCCGGGATGGGCGGCACGCAGCGTCTCACTCGCGCGGTGGGCAAGGCGCGAGCCATGGAGATGATTCTGACAGGGGAGTTCTTTATGGATGCAGAAGAGGCTGCACAGGCTGGGCTTGTCAGCCGAGTGGTGAGTAGGCTGCGAGTAGCATGCTATACTGAGTGGGCTTGTATGGGATCTGCGGAAGAAAAGAGCCATGGAGATGATTCTGACGGGGGAGTTCTTTATGGATGCACAGGAGGCAGTGCAGGCTGGGCTGGTCAGCCAAGTGGTGAGTTGTGCTTGTATTGAATAGGCTTGTGTTGAATATAAGCCTGCAGGCTTTTTTACCCTTCGTTTCCCCCTCACACCCCCCTTGCACAACCCTCACGTTACCCAGATCCCAGGTCCACAAGAGGACCTATTGAAAGCAGCCATGGCAACAGCTGCCAAGATTGCAGCGCTGTTGCAACCAGCCGTGGCCATGGCCAAGCAGAGCGTCAACGTTGCCTTCACCAACATGAATGCATTCCCCCCGGCATTCCCCTTGTTCACCCCTCGTTTTCCCGTCACGTTCCCCAGATCCCAGCCCAGGCCCACCAGAGGAGCTAGTGAAAGCAGCCATCGCAACAGCTGCCAAGATAGCAGCGCGGTCGCAACCGGCAGTAGCGATGGCCAAGCAGAGCGTCAGCGCGGCTTTCACCGGGTCGCTGGCTAAAGGGCTGGCTAAAGGGCTGGCTGAAGGGCTGGCTGAAGGGCTGGCAGAGGCCTGAGAATGCCAATATGCGTGCATTCCCCTTGTATTGCTCTTGTTTCCCCCTCATGTCCCCTCCTTTCCTCCCAAGATCCCAGGCCCACAGGAAGACCTAGTGAAAGCAGCCATCGCAACAGCCACCAAGATAGCAGCGCTGTCCCAGCCAGCAGTGGCCATGGCAAAGCAGAGCGTCAACGCGGCTTTCAACGGGTCGCTGGCTCAAGGGCTGGCGGAGGAGCGGGCACTCTTCCTCTCCTGCTTTGCCCTCGCCGACCAGAAGGAAGGCATGGAGGCTTTCCTTGAGAAGCGGGCTGCTCGTTTCAAGCATGAATGACAAGTGTTGTGGCTTGGTGCTGGGGATCGGTGCGGACTGAGAGACGGGGGGAGAGAGGCCAAGCAGAGCGTCAATGCGGCCTTCACCAGGTCGCTGGCTGAAGGGCTGGCTGAGGAGCGGGCACTCTTCCTCTCCTCCTTCGCCCTCGCCGACCAGAAGGAAGGCGTGCAAGCGTTTCTGGAAAAGCGGACTGCTATGTTCAAGCATGAATGAGGGGGATGGGTTGGTTGGGAGGTTGTGTTGTAGCGTCAGAGTGGGTGTGTGTGCCTTTTGTTCCCTTAGTGCATGGGATGAGATGCTGGGAGTGAGTGGTGTTGCTGGTATAGGTTCTCGCAGATGATGCGTTTGGGAAGCGACGCCCATGATCATGTATATATTGTACCGTACATTCTTGCTTTCCTTTTGTTTGTGATTGTGGCATTTCTTGATGCATTCAAGCGGTGCTACCAGACTATTTTCGCCACAGATCATGTGCTGTGACAGGAACTCTCCCAAGATTGCAATTAGGTGTAAAACCAAGATTGCAACTAGGTGTAAAACCAAGATTGCAACTAGGTGTTTTATACGCATTCACTGCATACTGGTTTTCAAGTTGTTGTGGACAAAGGTCACAGGAATAAGAACCGTACTCCAGATCTTCCCTACTTTTGAGACCTCTCAAAACATAAGTTATTGTGGACAAAGGTCACAGGAATACTGGTAGGAAGCCATACTCTAGATCTTCCCTTCTTTCCTAACCAACTGCCGTATCCTCTCAACCCACTTTCTCACATCCTTCCCTCCTACCCTTCTTCCTTCCCCCTCTCCTCTCCCCGCACCCTCCCCTCCTCCCTTGCTCCCACGGATCCTCACATCCCCCAGCCACTGCCTCGACTGCTGCAGCAAAGCATCCCTCTTAAAGGCAATCTCTTTAAGAGACATAGTGCTCATATCTACAGAAAGTGTGGACTTGCTGCGTTTGCTGTCTAATGCAGATGGAGGGGGGAATCTGTAGGTGGAACCAAGCTTATTGTCGTCTGTGCCTCCTGCACCCTCTTCTTTCCCACTCTTACTGCTGTTCTTGCTGCTACCAGTGGTGCCATTACTGCTACTGTCGCTGCTGCTGTTGCTGCTGCCATTGCTGCTGCCGCTGCTGTTGCTGCTGCCTCTGTTGGTGCAGTGAAATGCAATTCCCGTCAACCTTCTTTGCGTGGAAGAGGAGGGAACGCAGTAACCACGACCACTGTAGTGCATGGGGGAGGGGAGAAACGATAATGGAGAGGTGAGGAGCAGTTAGGAAAGTAAAGAGGAACTGAACATATGCAATATCCAGACATGTATGCATGCGTATCCCCCTGATTGCATGCATGTCCATTTGATTGCATGCATGCTCACGTGATTGCATGCATGTCCATCTGATCTGATTACATGCATGCCTATGGGACTACATGCATGCATGTCCATCTAATTGCATCCATGCCCACGTCATTGCATGCATGACCAGTTGAATGCATGAATGCATCTCTCACAACTCACATCCACACACATCCCTTCTCTCTCTCTCTCTCTCTCTCTCTCTCTCCTTCTCCCTCTCCCTCCTCTCCCTCTCCTTCTCTCAGGTTCTCACCTGCAGACACGTGGCACACTTTCATTGGCTCCACAGAACGCAGCACACTGCCTCTCAGAGCGCTGCCTCGCCAGCCAGCACGCCGACCCAGCTCCCAGGTTTGGCCTGAAGCTGTCTCCCACCTTCGCACCAAGGCTGAACCTCAGGTTCGGAGGCACAGGGCAGGATGGCAGCTGCAGGCAATTCCCATGCAACCGGGCAGTTGCATTTCTAGGCAGCCAATCAGACGTTCCGGGCAGGCTGCCCGAGAAAAAGTTTTTGGAAAGGTCAAGGGAGAGGAGAAAGGGAGGGAGGTGGGAGGGGAGGAGACCTGAGAGGAAGTTGCGAGAGGTATTGAGGAGTGTGAGGCGGTGCAGGGAGGTGGAGAGGTCTGGGAGGGAAGCAACGAGGTGGTTTCGGCTCAGGTCGAGTTCCTGGTTAGGAGAGACAGGGGGCAGAAGTAATTGGTTTCACGACTAAGTAATTGGCAGAAGTAAGGTTTTCCACAATGGTTCTGGCTGATGTCCAGTTTCTGGCTGAATGGGATAGACGAACAAAGAAGAATGTGACGAGACGTCCATAAACTTGAGAAAAATGGGATTTCAGGAACATGTGTCGAACCTGAAGCCGCGTCAGGGCGGTGAATGTGGCAGGGATGGTGCCGGAGAGGCGGTTACCAGCCAGCCGTAACACCCTGAGACCAGTAGCAATGCCCAGCTCGGTGGGGATGGCGCCGGTGAATGCATTGCCATTGAGGAGGAAGCGGGTGAGCTGCAAGAAGGAAAGAGGGAGGGGGTTGGTGAGGAGAAGGAAAGGGGTTGAACAAGGCATGAGGGGTAACACCCTCAGGCCAGTAGCAATGCCCAGCTCGCTGGGGATGGCGCCGGTGAATGCATTGCCGTTGAGGAGGATGCGGGTGAGCTGTGAGAGGGAAGGTGAGGAAGGGGAGTGGAGCACGAAAGGGGGCGGGAAAGGCATTGTCCATTGACACGCCATAACACGCAGAAGACCAATCGAGGCGGCAATGCCCATCTCGCTGGGGATGGCGCCGGTGACTGCATTGGCGTTGAGGAGGAAGCGGGTGAGCTGCAAGAAGCGAGAGAAGTGGTGCATAGAAGGGGGTGGGCAAGGCGTCAGGAGCCGTAACAGGCAGAGCCTGGTGGCTACCGGCCCGCTGGGGATGGCGCCGGTGAATGCATTGGCGTTGAGGAGGAAGCGGGTGAGCTGCGAGAGAGAAGAGAGCGAAAGGGTTTAGGGATTGGACGAGGCAGTGGGGAGAGCTGAAAGATTCTCAATTCAACAGAACTGGCATGGCAGGGGTGAATGCGTGGCTGTTGAGGGGGAAGTGGGGGGGCTAGTTTTGAGGCGCCTCAAAACTAGAAAGGGTTTAGGGATTGGACGAGGCAGTGGGGAGAGCTGAAAGATGCTCAATTCAACAGAACTAGCATGGCACGCGTGAATGCGTGGCTGTTGAGGAGGAAGTGGGGGGGCTGCGAGATAGGAAGTGGGGGGGCTGCGAGATAGGAAGTGGGGGGGCTGCGAGATAGGAAGTGGGGGGGCTGCGAGATAGGAAGGAAGGTTAACAGAATGAAAGGGGCGCGCGGTGAGATGAAAAGATGGGTGACACTCGAGGTGCCATAAAGGAAGGACGTTTGCGCCAACCCATGAAGTACCTTGTACAGGTGGTTGGAAGAAAGGATTAGGTGACTTTTGAGTCGACTCAAAAGAAGAGGTGACTTTTGACTTTTGAGTCGACTCAAAAGTCACCTCGCCACCCATGAAGTACCTTGTACAGGTGGTTGAAAGAAGGGATTAAAAGGGATTAGAAGCAACTGTTGACTTGTTTTTACAACCTGCTTGGCTGAACGGACCTACGGACCTACTTGGTACAGAGTGCCGAAGGAAAGAGGGATGCGGCCCGACAAATGGTTGTGCGACACGTCAACCACGTACGCCTGCACCAGCCCGCCCAGGCTGCCCGGCAGGCTGCCCGAAAAGGAATTGTTGGCGAGGATGAGTCCCGAGTCGAGGATGGAGAATATGGGCGACGCCAGGGGGATGGCCAGGTGGGGGCTGATGGGGCCGGAAAAGTTGTTGCTGTGTGCTGCGTGGTTGGAGGAGAGGGGGCAGGAGAGCAGAGATATGAGGGGAAGGATGGAGAAGACAGGGGACAGCAAAGGGATGCGAGGGGCATGGCCTGGTGTGGGCTGATGGGGCCTGAAAAGTCGTTTCTGTGGGCTGCATGGTTGGAAAGTTGGGAGAGAGGAGTGGGAGTGTGTGTAAATGGGAAAGGTGGGACAGATTGTGAGTGCAGAGAGAGAGGGTGACAGATGCAGGCTGATGCGGCCCAAGAAGGAGAACGGCCCCATCAGCCTTCATCTGTCACCCTCTACCTCAACTGTGTGTGGTGCTTGGAGTGGCAGGACGAGTGAGAACGGAAAGGGGAGTACGAGGAACGAACCAGCTGTCCAAAGGGCAAAAGATTGGGCACGTGATAAAAGTGTTGTTTGAGACGTCTCAAAAGATTGGGCAACAAGTGTTGTTTTGAGACGTCTCAAAACAACACTTTTATCACCAGCTGCCCAAAAGGGCACAAGTTTGGGATCCAAGGGTCCCTCAAGGCCATTGAAATCGAGGAGCAGATCGGAGACAACGACAAGAGCAGAGAGTAGGGGAAGGGTTGACTTTTGAGTCGACTCAAAAGTCAACCCGATTGGGATCCAAGGGTTCCTCAAGGCCATTGAAATCGAGGAGCAGATCGGAGACAACGACAAGAGCAGAGAGAACGGGAAGGGGACCCTGGGGGTTGGTGATGGCTATGGGCGTGTACTCACCTGAGAAGAATCCTAGCCGTCCAGATGGCAAGTACTTGGGATCCAACGGCCCATCCAAGCTGTTGAAATCAAGAAGCAGATCGGATACGCCAGCGAGAGCAGAGAGGTCGGGAAGGGGCCCTTGCAGGTTGGTGGCGGAGAGGTCAAGGACGAGGACAAGGGAGGTGAGGTGAGGGATGGAGGGAGGGAAAGGTGCGGGTGTGAAGGGGTTGAAGGCGAGCTGGAGCGTTGCTAGCTGCGGGGAAGGGGGAGAACAGGGTGGAAGGGAGGGAGGGGGCGGGGGGTGGAAGAAGAAAGGGGAATGGAAGGTGTGTTGGGGGTTTGGTGGCGGAGAGGTCAAGAAGGAGAACGAGGGAGGTGAGGCGGGGGATGGAGGGGGGCAGGGGCGCTGGTGTGAAGGGGTTGAAGGCGAGCTGGAGCGTTGCTAGCTGCGGGGAAGGGGGAGAACAGAGGGGAAGAGGGGTTGGGCAGGGGGTGGGGAAAGAAAGGAAAAAGGAAGGTGCATTGAGGGTTTGAGGTGCCTCCAACAGCCAAGGTAGCTTGGGTGGTGGAAAGGTCAAGTAGTTGGCTTGGGGGGGGACCTCGGAGGTTGGTGGCGGAGAGGTCAAGAAGGAGAAAGAGGGAGGTGAGGCGCGGGATGGATGGGGGCAGGGGCGCGGGTGTGAAGGGGTTGAAGGCGAGCTGGAGCGTTGCTAGCCGGTGGAGAACCAAGGGGGACAACCGACCAGCAGAAGAGAAGGCATGTGGACTGGGAGGGGGAGAAAAAATCGGCCATATTATGGGACCAAATTGATGGGAAAAACCACCAGGATGAAGAGGACGATCCCCTCTTAGCTTGTGTGCATGAGTAAGCATGATCGAAAATGTATTCGACCTTGTTTTTGCCTTTTTTTTCTTGGTGATAAGAGTTCTCTAACAAAAAAATGGCCGTATTTTTGAAAAATTACCGTAAAAAACGGACCGTAAAAAACGGACCGTAATTTACGATTACCGTATTTTTGAACCTTGGTGGGGAGTGATACGTGGGGAGTGAGATGTGGATGTGGGGAGTGAGATGTGGATGTGGGGAGTGAAATGTGGATGTGGGGAGTGATATGTGGGGTGGCAAGGGATTGATGCAGCATCAGTGGCATGGCAGGTAGCACACTCACCTGCTTCAGCTGATCCATTGGTGGAATGGCGCCTGAGAGCTGGTTGCTCTGCAGGCCAAGGTGCAGCAGACGAGTGAGGTGCGATGTTAGGGCGGCAGGGATGGGGCCTGCGGAACAGCGGACACAGAGGGAAAAGAAGGCCCAATAAGAGCTGGTTGCTTTGCAGATCGAGACGCAGAAAACGAGTGAGGCAAGGCATGTGGAATACCGCCAGCAGCAGCCTCACTCACTCTCACGGGAAGGATAGCAACAGGAGGTCTCACGGGGAGAAGGAGTTGAAGGAAAGAAAGGCATGCAGCGTAGTCACATTGGCCGCGCTTGCCCGTATCCCTCATGTGAGACAGCTATAACACGGCGACGTAAAGAACAAAACGGTATGGAGAACAAGAGAGGCTCACTGACCGGACAAGGAGTTGAAGGAGAGGTCGAGAGCGCGCAGAGTAGTCACATTCGCCAGCCCTGCCGGTATCCCTCCCGTGAAGCCACACCACCGTTTCACACGAGCAGCAGCGATGGTGGTGGTGGTGGTAAGCCTTCCGCTCAGCGTTGCGCCAGAGGAAGAAGCAGCAGCAGAAGCAGGGGCAGGAGCAGAGGCAGTGGGCGAGCCAGGGGCAGGGGCAGGGGCAGTGGCAGGGGCTGGGGTGGGAGCGGGGCGGTTGCGGTCGAGGAATAGGAACTCGAGAGGCAGACGGGAAAGGTCTGGCAGGGAGCCATAGAGAAGGTTCTTGGAAACGTCCAGGTAGGTGAGGTGGATGAGACGGGAGAAGGACTTTGGCAGGCGGCAGTGAAAGGCGTTGCTCTGAGGGGGGAGGGACGAGGGGCGAGGGACGAGGGGAGAGGGGAGAGGGGAGAGGGGAGAGGGGAGAGGGGAGAGGGAAAAGGGGAGAGGGGAGAGGGAACAGATAGGAAAACATCATTTTGTCAGAAGCAAACTCAATTGGAACTCACAAACCCTGATTGAGAGATAAGCAGTATGCTGCATGCACAGTGCTCCTCCGTTCACGAAGAAGGGCAGCAGTAGGCAAGGTCGCCTTTAGCAAAGGGATGATAGTCAACCAGTGAAAAAAGTAACCCTCGAAAAAATTGATTCGAACGTACAACTCAGTTCAAACTCAGTATGCTGCATGCACAGTGCTCCTCCGTTCACGCATCTACACACCTCCAGGTCAATATATTCGAGGCGATTCAAGAGAGCGAGGGCTCTCAGAGACGAGCCGTGCAGCCCCTGGGAGTAGAGACCGATGCTGGTGGTGCACAGACACAGGTGGACACACAGACACAGGTGCACACACAGACACAGGTGGACACACAGACACAGGTGGACACACAGACACAGGTGGACACACAGACACAGGTGGACACACAGACATAGAGAGATCAACGAATCCAAGGGGAGTCAAGAGAGAGAGGGCTCTCTGAGAGACCGATGCTGGTGGTGCACAGATAGACAGACACAAGGGCAGAGAGTGGAAACGAATACACAAAGACAAGGCTAGTTTCGTTATTCAAGAATTGGGGGACCGGTGCCTGATCTTGAAAACATACTGGCAGGTAAAGAAGGAACACGACCTGCTAGGGCAGGAAGTACTTAGTTGGAACAAGAGGTGTGCGGATGGGGGAAAGTACAAAGCATACGAAAGCCAGGAAACAGGGAGGAGGAGGGAGCGAGGGTAGGGGGTAAGGTGGGGATTTGGGTGGAAAGGGGGAGGGAGGGAGGGAGGGAGAAAGAGAGGACTTACCCAGTGACACGTGGCGGCTGGTCATTGGAGCACTGCACTCCTGGAAATGCGTCCTGGCAGGGGTCTGAATGGGCCGAGGGGAACCATCCCGGCACTCCAGGCACCTTGTTTCCTTCCGTGCCGGCTGTCAAACTGCTGCTGCTGCTGCCACTTCCACTGCTGCTGTTTCTGCTGTTGTTGCTGTTGCCGCTGCTGCTGTTGTTGCCACTGCTGTTATTGTCACTGCTGGTGCTGCTGCCATGGCTGCTGCTAGCGACGGTGAAGACGGATGAGTGGAAGCGCTGAAGCGCTGCCACGTCAGACGGGTGTGTGGCTGCTGCTGGTTGGTAAACAGTGATGACGTGGCAGAGTTGCAGACTTCGTTATCGGCACCAATCACGGACAATAAGTCAATCATTGCAGCAACGATGGACAATGGTACGGTGTAGAGCTCATGGGAGAGACGAAAGGGAAAGGGAAAGGGAAAGGGAAAGGGAAAGAGAAAGGGAAAGGGAAAGGGAAAGAGAAAGGGAAAGGGAAAGGGAAAGAGAAAGGGAAAGGGAAAGGGAAAGGGAAAGAGAAAGGGAAAGGGAAAGGGAAAGGGAAAGAGGAAAGGGAAAGGGAAAGGGAAAGGGAAAGAGAAAGGGAAAGGGAAAGAGAAAGGGAAAGGGAAAGAGAAAGGGAAAGGGAAAGGGAAAGGGAAAGGGAAAGGGAAAGGGAAAGGAAAAGGGAAAGGGGAAAGAAGGAGAGTCTGCATGAAGCAAGAAGCAAGAACCAAGAACCAAGAAGTCAGGAATTTCACAAGCCGGTCACATGATGGAAATGGTTACCTTGGCAAGATGCTGCGAGCACAGCTAGCATGGTCACGGTGAAAACAGCGTGAGCGGCACTCTGAGCTTGAATCGTGGGCTGCGTCCAGCAAAAGCTTCGTCGAATCAAGCCCGAGCCCGAGCCTGAGTCTGACCCCGGATTAGGAGCATTAAGCTTTCTGAAGCCTTTGAATCGGAGGGTTTCTCCACCAGGCAGTTTCTGAGTGAGAATTTGACGTGCTGTGACGGAATCCGTCAAACAACTCAACGAAGCAGCAGCAGACACCCGTCTCGCACGCCTTTCCTGACGGTCGTTCTTACAATCAATAGACGGTACACATGCCAGCAGAGGTTCAGGATTCTTCATTTTGGAACGCCGTCCGTCACTCACTAACGCGCGGGTCATTCGAGGAAGTGGCTAATTCGATGCGCGATTACGAGGGAGAAGTGCTCAAGTAACGTGCACCCTGATTAACTCTCAGGAAATGCTTCTGAACTGATCGCCCCTGAACTCCGAGATCGATGTATAACCGTGAAGGGTCCTGAACGGTTCTGAAGGGTCCTGAAGGATCCTGGCCTCTGAAACATCAAGGGATGTCACTATTCCTTGCAATCACAACCACGGTACGACAACTCTGGCTTCCGACAACCAACCTATTATTGATTCTAAGCCTATTATAACGAGACAGCGGCGTGTACCGAGCAGAAGGAAAGCCTTTGTCTTCCCGTGGTGAATCCGCCAAGCATATGATCGAACGGCTGTCACGAATCCAATGGATATGCGACACCGACATCTCTCCTTGACGAACGTGACGAACGGAGAAGGCGAATGCGGATGGCGGTGGTGCAACAGCGACCGCCATGGCCGACACAGGTTGTTGTTAGAACTTTAAAAAACACACCCACTTCTTGTAACGAGCGGCTGAAGCCTCTAGGGAGCGAGGAACGGGGACTTCGTGTGCCAGCGCAGCAAATGCGCGAGCCTGGCAGCTCAAGCGAGGCGGCGGGATTCAAATTACTGTTTCTGCCTCCTTGAGATTTCCGCGGTGCGAGCAGATGACCAGGGGGCTTCGGCTGAGGAGCTGATGAAACATCCCTGTTGAAGTCGTACCCGTCTGGCCAGTCAGTATACAATCTACGCTGTACGAATACCGTATTACAACAAACTCTCGCTCCAAAAACTATTTCCAAACCAGACCCACCATCGCATCAAAGTTACATTGCAAACAAACAGTTTGCAACAACTCATGAGTTGAGTAAGCATTGTAAGGATTTACAAATCCTTACTGAGGCACTCGTTAGCGAGGCCATCCCGAGGGTCACGCGACGAACCTGACCTTCCTATTTCGTCGCACCGAACCACTCCCGAGTCGGCCTCCGCTCCAATCGCAACCATCACCGAGCCATCCCATCCCGAACCCCCCGCCTAGCTAGGTTTTCCCCTATTTAGGCCTCGCTACTTCATTGTTTCGAAATTCAGTAATTCAGTACTCAATCATTCTCGATATTCGTTTTACTGCGCACTCTGCAAGTTGATTCATAACACCTGGTATCAGAGCTACTTTCCTAGCTGACCCCGCTTTTTAGAGTGTAATACCCCTCGGGGGGGGGGGGGACGAGGAAGAATGTCTTGGGGTCCAGGAGTTGCGTAGGCCGGCCAGGAGAACGCGTTAGTTGCTCCTCGCGGCCATAGTTTTACGGGTACTCCTTTAGCACCGCCAGATCCTTGCCTCGAACGGTCGCGATCGACCGTGGCCTCCTCCCCCCCCCCCGGGCAACGGACTGTCAAAATGAGGAATGGATGTTGCATTGATGTGTGAAGCAAGGAAACATGAATGAATGAACTAGCAGTGAAATGAGTACAAGTAGGAAACCCTAGAATTGTGTACCCCCTATAGGCTAACCCACTGTAGCCTACACAAGCATAACATATATAATGTTTGACACACCCCCATAGGCAAAGTGGGGGAGAACAAGGGGTCACAAGACCAGTCAAGCAAAGCAAAGCAAGCTCAGGGTGGATCACAAAGTCACCACACAGTCCGAGCACAAGAGCAGGGCCAGAGGCCAGTTCACATGCAGGAGTACAGATATATATATAAAACTAGACAAGCAAGAGCAGGTATATATATATATATGTCACAGTAGAAGTGAAGTCAAGAGGAGAGCAAGTGAGGCAAGACAGACACAAGACCCAACTGCGTGCAAAAGCGCTGATGGTCACAAGGCGCGAGTGCCTTGGTGAACACATCAGCAGTGTTGGCCTCAGAGGCCACGTACGCAAGTCGCAACTGACCACGCTGCTGCAGCTCACGAGCAAGGAAGTAGCGGAGAGCAATGTGCTTCGTTCTGTGCTCCAAGCGCTGCTCTCGACACAAGGCCAGCATGGCCTTGTTGTCTACGTACAGCACTGGAGGAGAACGAGGCGGCTCTCCAAGGTCAGTCAGCAGGTAGGTGAGCCAGCGAAGCTCCTGTGCAGCCATGGCCCCGGCGTAGATCTCAGCCTCACAACTGGAGCCGAGAACCGAAGACGAGCGAGTAGACCGCCACGAGACAGAGCCGGAACCAAGGCTGAAGGTGTAACCCTGTGACGACCGCTGCGTAGCCTGGTCGTCAGCCCAAGAAGCGTCCGCGTGGCCGGTAAGGACCACTGGACTCCGCCCTCCAAGCACTAGCCCCATGCCCGACGTACTGCACAGGTAGCGCAATACCCTCTTCGCTGCAGCCATGTGCTCTGGTCTGTGTCTCCCAGGAGCAACATAGCGTGCAAGAATGCTCAGAGGGTATGCAAGGTCAGGTCGTGTGCAGGTCATCAGGTACATGAGGCAGCCAACAAGCTCTGCATACGGACCACTCGACTCTACGGACTCATCCGAAGGCAGAGCTGAGAGTGAGTGGCGAGTAGGCAGAGGAGTGGCCTGAGGCGAGGAGTACGTGAAGCCGAAGCGCTGAAGGACCTGCTGCACCATGTGTGACTGAGTCAAGGTAATGGTGCGGCGTGCTCTGTCCCGAGTGATCTGCAAGCCAAGGTAGCTGCGCAGTTCACCCAGGTCTGTGCACGTGTGTCTCTTCAGCAGCTCGGACTTCACGTAGGCAAGTCCAGCAGTGTCCGCTGTGGCAAAGACCAAGTCGTCGACGTACACGAGGATGTAGAACGGCGGCAGGGAAGTGTCGGTGCGAAGAAACAGCGACGGGTCAGCAGTAGAAGGAGCAAACCCAAGAGCCGCAAGCGTAGTCCTCAGTGTGTCGTGCCACTCACGCGGTGCCTGGCGGAGACCGTAGACTGGCCGTCGGAGGCTCCACTGGGTGCCAGGAGGGAAAGTCCCAGTGAAGCCAGGTGGACGGCGCAGCCAGATCTCCTCGTGCAGGCTACCCTGCAGGAACGCAGTGCTGAAGTCGAGAGAGTGAAGCTCGTAGTCGCGCTGAGCGGCTATGTGCAGCAGCACCCGAAGAGTGGTCATCTTCGGGGTGGGAGAGAAGGTCTGAAAGTAGTCAACTCCCTGCCGCTGACTGAAGCCACGAGCAACGTACCGCGCCTTGAAGACAGGTGGAGAGCCCGGCGGCCGCTTCACCCTGAAGATCCACATGCCACTGACGATGTTCGCCCCAGGAGGGGGAACCGCGTCAACGTAGGTGCCTGTGGACTTCCAGGAAGCCATCTCTGCATCCATAGCTGCCTGCCACTGAGAGGAGTAGGGACCCTCTACGGCCTCCGCGTAAGAACGCGGAGTCGGGATGTCTAGTGCATCCGGGTCTCCCTCAGGGGCAAGCAGTACAGACGCGAGATGAGGTGAAGCAGTCGCTAGACACTGTAACTCCTCCTGTCTGTCCTCTAGGACGTCCGTGCCAAGAGCACACTCACCCCCGACGGACGGAGGACAGACAGATGCAGACTCAGCAACAAGACTAGCAGCGTAGTCGAGACGACAGCGAGCAGCAAAGTCGACGAGCTCAGCGACTAGAGCAGACGCAGCAGTGGACTCAAAAGAGGGGTCAGTGACGACAGTAGCAAGCAGACGCGTGACAGTAGGACTGGCAGCACGAAGAGAGTCCGACTCAGGGTCGGCAAGCGCACGAAGAGAGGACTCCGGAGGAGAAGGCAAAGGGGCACGCAGAGGAGCAGTGGACGGACGCAAAGACATCCGGTGCGTGCCAGGGACAGGAGGAGGACGCTGACGCGAACTGCGACCACTAGCGCGAGCAGCACGAACAGGCGACGCGGGACGAGACGCAGGCTCACGACGCTCAGCAAGACCTCCAGTAGGACCAGTGTAAGGAGAGGGAGCAGGCAGGGGAGAGGAAGGCTCCAGCAGGGACTGCTACTGGACAGGCGGTGGACCCTCTACTAGAGGAGAAAGACCAAGAACCTGCTGCAGGAGCGGAACGAAGTACGGCCGAGGCCGCGCGGCAGCTCCAGACGCAACAGGGACAGCACCAGCACCCTCAGCGACAGCACCAGCGCCACCCACACCTCCAGCGGCAGGACCAACAGCAGTAGGCTCAGCACCAGCGCCCTCAGCAGCTCCAGCTCCAGGAGGACCCGCAGGTCCAGCAGCTCCGGGACCGGCAGCACCCGCACCCTCGACGGTCGAAGAAGCTCCAGCTCCAGCTCCAGCAGCACCTCTAGACTCAGCAGCACGCCTCCAGCGGCGAGCGAACCACTCGCGCAGCTCCTGTGGAGAGAGGGGCTCCCGGCGAGACGTAGCAGCAGGAGAAACCCCAGGCTCAGCAGCTCCAGACGCAGCACCCCCAGGCTCAGCAGCTCCCAGCTCAGCACCCCCAGGCTCAGCAGCTCCCGACCCAGCACCCCCAGACCCAGCACCTCCAGGCACAGCACCCCCCGGCTCAGCACCCCCAGGCTCCGCACCCTCCGCAGTAGCACCCTCAGGCCCAGCACCCCCAGCAGTAGCACCCCCAGGCTCAGCACCCCCGCGCACAGCACCCCCAGAGTCAGCACCCCCAGGCTCAGCACCCGCAGCAGCACCAGAGTCACCAGTAACCTCGACCGGGTCAACGGCGTCTACCTGGGACACACCTGAGGGGGCAGGAACCTGAGGGGGGAGGGGGTCTACCGGGGGGGGAACCGGCACAAGGAAGTCCGGGGGAGGGGGGAGGGAAGGAGTGCGGTAGGGGAAGAGACGGTAGAAGGGGACTGACTCGTTGAACGTGAC